TTCCCTGTGTTTCTAGGGTTCTCTTCCTGCCAAGTGTTCTTCCCTCTCCAAGAAGCTGTGTATTTGAGAAGCAACTGCAGAGATCAGGGACTAAAACCCTTTCTGGGCTGGACAAGTACAAATGTGCAATTACAGCTGCTGAAATCAGGCCCTGAGAGCTTCTCAGGGGCAGGAAGAATTGGAATGGAAAGCCCAGAATCAGGGATTGGCCCACATCCCAGTCCCACATGGCTTTCTATGCCATGCCACATGCCTGAGAGAGTATTCCCAAGGCTACCGTGCTAACAGCCCAACCTGCCCCTCCCTGCCATGGGGCATGCTGGGAAATGGGGCAGCCACATGGCTCCTTAAGGTAGCTATTGAAGAGCTTAAAATGACTTAAGGTGGAACAGACAGATGAGAGAAAATGGCAAAAAGGAAGTAAGTGTGTGACTTTGAGGGCATCTAGGTAAGAGCAAGGCCTGACCTTTTTTTTTCCATAATGTGTCTTGTTTCATTTGCTTGGGTTCAAAAAAGGTGAGAATGAACCTTTTATTGAATACAAAATTTGTAAGTTGGACTCTGACAAACCTGATGTCACCATCCCTGAGTACAGAACTAATTCACCCCAGCTATAACAGTGGGAACAGGGCTGATTTGCTTAAAGGTACAGAGGAAAGCACCACATTGCCCTGTGGTGAAGAAAGTAGGGTGACCAACCCTCCCTGTTTGCCTGGGACTTGGGGGGGGGGGGGTGTTCTTGGAGGCATGCTTAGGAGGCGGGAGATTCATTGCTAAAACCTGGAAAGTCCCAGGCAAACCAAGACAGGTTAGTCACACTAGAACGAAGCCTCAGCTGTGTGCAGTTGCCTCTATCCCCCAGCCCGACCATGCGCAGGCTGGCGTCCAGCTGCTGCCCGTGGAGTGGTATAGCCTCTGTCACATACTAGGCTTGAGTAGTTACCTAACCTCTCCAGGACTTAGTTTGCTTGTACCTAAAATGAGGTTAATCATAGCTACCATATGGGGTTTATAATGTTTGCATAAGAAGACACAAACATGCCTAGTGACGTTTCTGGCACAAAATTATCAATTAAATATTAGCAAACTTATTTACTACTCATTGATTCAGCTCATTTAACAAATTTGTATGCGTACCATGTGCCAGGCACTGCTGTAGACCTAAAAAATAAAGACAAAGTTCTGCCCTGGTGGAGGGGGATAGACAAACAATAAATGAATATATTCTTTTATATATAAGGAGATAAGACCCTTGGACTGAACAATTAAGCAGGGTGAGAGGGATAGGGAGTGCTGGGGCAGAGAAGGTATAATGTTAAATGCAATGGGCAGGGTAGGCTTCACTAAAGAAGGTGATTTTTATACAATAAAGACTAAATAAAAAATAAATTTTAGAGATTACAACATTCATAAATCAAACACACACACACACACAAAAGAAGGTGATTTTTGTACAGAGACCTGAAGGAGGTGAGAGACTGAACCCTACCTAGTGAAGATGAATCTGATCAAAGAGAACAGGCACCCTGAAATCGAAGCATGTCTAGTGCATTCAGAGACTGGTAGGAAGGCTAGCTTGGTTGGGATTTTGGTGACCAAGGGAAAAATTGTAGGAGTTAAGGATTGAGGGGACTGGGGACTCCAAAGGGGCCTTAGTAGCAATCATAAAGTCTTCAGTGTTCAGTTTCACTCCAAATAAAAGCCACCAGAGGATTCTGAGTAGATAAGTGTCATGACTTGGGTTTGAAGAATATCATTCCAGCTACTCTGTTGAAGACAGTGAGAACAAGAAAGGAAGAATGTTGCAGACCCTATCCAACAAAGTCTGCCTGTTGTGGTTTACCACGAAAATCATTCACAGACGACAACAACCCTGTGTGGAAAAAGGGAACAGGCACAACTACTCTTTCAAGGGGACAGTACCTATGGTGCCTCGGCCACTCCCTCAAGAGGGGAGCGCCCCGACCCTTGCCTAGACAGGATTTTATTGTTTTCCTGGGGTCTTAAATCATAGAAAGATTTATTATCTATCACATAGAATATTATTGTCTACATTCTAGGTACAATCAAGGAAATAAAAATATCATGCAGAGAGGGATGGCAATGAGCTCCTTCACTCTGTCCTTGGGAGAGTTCACATAGGCTTTGGAAGTTACCTTGAAGATAGACAATACACATTTGTTGTTTTAGACCAGGGCGATGGAGTTTTAGCAAGAGCAAGCCATAACAATCTGTATGCATTTTCTAGGCCTGATTCCCACAGGAAAACTCGGTTTGAAGGTCTGGCTCCTGCCCACCCCTTCACATCTGTAGGTTTTCCATACAGAGCTGAGTCACATTTGCAAGGCCAAGACAAACCAGTCCCCTACACAAGGAGACCAGTTAGAAGACAGTTGTAACAACTCAGGCAAGAGATGATAGACCAGGATGGTAGCAGCAGAAAAGGAAAAATGAGTCCTCACTAAATGGATATAGTGGATGAGAGAGAGAGAGAAAGGAGTCATAAAGATGATTGTAAGGGGTTAATATGAGAACAGAGAAGGGCAGGGCTACCTCAGATGAGTTCCTTTTAGCTACACTTTTGTTGTGGTGATAGTTGCTGTTGTGGTGGTTATTGACCTTTATTAAGCTAGTGTGCTGTTCCTTGTGATGATCTCTAATATCTGATGTCATAGTTTGCCTTCATAGTCTGGTACGCTCACTCTTGATAAGGAGGAAACTGCTTCTTCCCCCCTTTAGACTGTGAATCCTGTTTCTTTGAGGAGCACCCCAAGTACACTGGCAAGTTATCAGAACTCCTATTCCCTCCAGCAAACCTAGCCCTCCAGCGCAGAAGTCCCCATTTGGCACAGCTTTGCTATCTAGGGTCCCTAGGGAGAAAGAACCAGCAAGGCCCTGCCCCTGGCAACTCTGCCTCCGCCTGCCTGGGGAGCAAGATGTCCTGCCCAGGAATCAGGAACACTCCTTTCCCAGGCCCTTGCTCTCCTTTCCTGCTGGGAAGCTGACTTCTTCTCAGAGTGATGGAGGCAGAAGCCTCTAGGAAGCTGCCCAGCTTGCTTTTTTTCTTTTTTCTTTTTTTTAAAGATTTTATTTATTTATTTTTAGAGGGGAGGGGAGGGAGAAAGACAGGGAGAGAAACATCAGTGTGTGGTTGTCTCTTGCACACACCCACTACTGGGGACCTGGCCCGAAACCCAGGCATATGCCCTGACTAGGAATTGAACCAGCAACTCTTTGGGTCACAGGCCAGCACTCAATCCACTTAGCCACACCAGCCAGGGCATTTTTTTTTTATAAAGAGACAATTATTTTTATTTTTAAGATTTTATTATTTTTTAGAGAGACAGGAAGGGGGGGACAGAAGGAGGGAAAGAAACATTGATATATGAGAGACATTGATCATCGATCAGTTGCCTCTCACATGTGCCCTGACTAGGAGTCGAACTGGCTGCCTTTCAGTTTGCAGGCTTGCTGAGTTCACTAAGCCAGTCAGTCCACTGAGCTACACCAGCCAGGTCTCAACTTGCTTCTAATGCTTTGGCCAAGCCCTGTCCGCACCCCCTTCCGAGGAGTTCAACTGTGCCACTCAGCTGGGGGCCAGTGTAGTACAGATGGGCACTAGGGGGCATGAGGCTGGGGATATGAACATCAGGCACCACTTCCCCCACCGGCTCTGTTTTTCACAAGGAAGGTTGCCCCACACAGCCTATAGGGAAACTATCAAACAGTGCAGCCAATAACTTCAAGTGCCAAGAAGGGGCTAATTTGCTGTTGTGTATAAACAACTTGAAAAAAGTAACCCCTGGCTGGTGTGGCTCAGTGGATTGAGTGCTGGTCTGCAAACCATAGGATCGCCGGTTTGATTCCCAGTCGGGGCACGTGCATGGTGCCACCCATTGGTGTCTCTCTCCCTCTCTTTCTCCCTCCCTTCCCCTCTCTCTAAAAATAATTAAATAAAATATTTAAGAAAAACAATTGACAGCAATTAAAATTTAGGATTTCCCTACTTCCCTTAAAGTGTAAACACCTCGAACCCAGAACTGTTCCCAGAAAGGTACTGGGAATATTTCTGTTTTGTCTCTGGGAACATGGCTAGAACATGGGTGCATGATCACATGTGTTAGAGGAAGCATGCTTGTAACCAAGGACGTGTACCATCCAACTTCGTGGCTCTGCCTTATTTTGTTCTCTTTTTATTCGACCTGAATAGTAGTACTTCTCAAATACGTAGCATTTCTTAAAATAAATAGTACTTAATAGAATAGTAGTACCTCTTAGTAGTGTGTGTTTGTTCCCGAGTGTGTGTGACAGAAAGTGAGTGCTATGTGTACTCAAAGGGGGTGCCCAGAGTTGGCACCTCAGAGTCCCTTTTCTGTTGATCTCCGAAAGCCGCTAGAACTTGGAATCAGGACAGTTGGTGGGGCTATGTCTCCTCACCTTCTAGCATGACCTTGAGCAAATGGCTTGTTCTTTCTGGCCTTTGTATGCGAGTCAGTGGGCAGCCTCTCTTTTTAAATCATCGCCAGCATTTCCATGTTAATGCGAGAGAGAAGGACTGTGAGTCCTAGGAAGCATCTTAATGTTTGTGTTCTTAGAGCTGAAGCCTGGTGTGAACCCAGTGATCAACAGGTGAAGTTTTAGGTCTAGGTTAGCTTTCCGTGGAGACTAAGAAGAGTGGGTGGCCTCTGTGCCAACTCGTCTCAACTCGCCCATTTTTAGACTAAAAGTTTCATACCCTCTGAGTCCTGGGCCAATTGGCGTAGTAGGCCACCCTACAGGATCTCGTACTTGGGCAGATCAGGAAGCAAGGGATCTTTTTTAAAGAGGTCTTTTCACTGCCTTTCTCTATTGTTCTTCTCTTCCCCATTTTTCTCACTCATTCGTCCCACTCCTCTCTCCTTTTCAGGTCTATCTGGGAACCCAGCAGATCTGGAAAAACGTAAACAAGTGTTTGGAACGAACTTAATCCCCCCTAAAAAGCCCAAGACCTTCTTAGAATTAGTGTGGGAAGCCCTTCAAGATGTCACACTCATCATCCTGGAGATCGCAGCCATCATCTCCCTGGTTCTGTCCTTCTATCGGCCTCCTGGTGAAGAAAATGAACGTGAGTGTCTTGAACAGCCCAGCAGGACTCCGATCTGGTTCTTTCCACAAGCACCAAAAAGCACTTTGTGGTAGAGGTTGACTTTATAGCAGGAAAGTTTTCCTGCATTACTCAGGGTGGGTTCTCTAAAGGAAACTAACAAGTAGCTAAGAATGGATTCTTTTAATCCATTCTGATTCCAGGGTCTTTTTCCCTTTTTCCCATCAAATCCTTATTCAGAATGTCATGAATCCTTTATCCTCACCCAACCAACAAAACCCTGCTTCTCAAAGTGCCTAACGCCAATATTAATGGCATTTGTGGATGTTGGGAATAATAAGTTCTTTACATGTGACTTGCCTACAGTTTTCATTGACATGTTTTGTGCTGTCTAGCTATTTGCTTCTTTTGGGTTAACATAAATAATTATATGGTGATGAGATGATGCCCAGTTCTGCTGTCCTCCAGTATTCTTGGAGGGTAGCTCTTTTACCCAAAAGTTTTATTTTTTACTATTCTTTTTCCCTGACTTGCCATTTTGGGGGAATTGCAGAAGCACTACCCCCAAGTTTATTGTCAGCAAAAGCCCCTTTCTTTCCTTTCCCTGGGCTAGAGTGTGGTCTACCTGTGAGTAGCCCAGAAGATGAAGGGGAGTCCGAAGCCGGCTGGATTGAGGGGGCAGCCATTCTGTTCTCGGTGATCATCGTGGTGCTCGTGACGGCCTTCAATGATTGGAGCAAAGAGAAGCAGTTCCGAGGGCTGCAGAACCGTATTGAAAAGGAACAGAAATTCTCCATTATTCGAAATGGTCACATCATCCAGCTCCCTGTGGCTGAAATAGTGGTTGGCGATATCGCCCAAATCAAATATGGTGAGAGTTCTGGGTTTCTCTTACACTTGCCACACTCTGTATTTAAGGGCCAAGAGGTCCTTTGGCTTAAGGGGGCTAAGAATTACTAAGGACCCAAAAACATATGACCCCTAATTGTGTTAGCTTCTAAGTTAATGTTTAAAAAGGTTGTGTGAGGAAACTCAAAGAAAGAAATAACTGAAACTCTCCCAAAAGATTTTCAGACTTATGTGTCTTCAGGTTAAAAGTATATAATATTCAGGCTATGGGATGCTGTTTGGGGGATCAGTAATTGCTTGAAATTTTAAAATCTAGAAACTAGTCTTGTTACAGGTACTCAGAGCTGAAGTTGTCTTTCAGAGGCTCTCTAGCTATTCTATGAGCCACTGCCTCTAGTTGTGTGTGCGGAAGGGGGGGGGTGGGTTGAGATGGGGTTCCATGGTTTTCCGCCCTCCTCCAGGATCTTACCTCCCCTCTTTCCCTATTGCTCCTTCCCCTCTGTACACTAGGTGACCTGCTGCCTGCAGATGGGGTCCTGATCCAGGGGAATGATCTCAAGATTGACGAGAGCTCTCTGACTGGGGAATCTGACCACGTCAAGAAGTCCCTGGAAAGAGACCCCATGCTGCTCTCAGGTATGGCTTTTGGCCACCTCACTTTCCGTTCTGCCTCCTCCCACATAGCCAGGTCACAGAGACCTGATCCAACCCCTGCTCTCTCTTCCAGCCCTGCTGCATCTCCTTCCCTTGGGTTCAGCTGGGGCAATGGCATATTAGTGGGTTATATACAGGATATAAGATAACCTAAAAGAAGTTCTTTATGAAGCAAGTGCTGTAGGGGCCTTGGAAGGGCTCCGCTGGAAGGGGGTGGGTGGTGGGAGAAGAAACTGTACCCTAAAGTAGACACATTTATCTCCTTTCCTTCCAATTTACTTGTTCTATTTTAAATGGTCCTAGCTGTTGACCTTTTTCTTCTATCTGCTGAGTGCATCATTATCCATAGGAGCAGAAGGAAGCCTCTGTTTTACATCAGAGCATGGCGAGCTGTGAAAACAACACTCCTCCCATCCTCTCCTTTCTCATACAGGGACCCATGTCATGGAAGGTTCTGGCCGGATGGTGGTGACTGCTGTGGGTGTCAACTCCCAGACTGGGATCATCTTTACCCTCTTGGGGGCTAGTGAGGGAGAAGAGGAGGAGAAGAAGAAGAAAGGTAAGGGGTATTTGGAGTGAGATTCTCTTCCCACCTGTCTCCGTGGACACACTGGGAAACCAGGGAGCAGATCTGGATGGAAGACTCAGCTGGATGAAGTGTGCACATATCCATACCCCTTGCCAAGATAAAGCTGACACCCTGGTTCTCCGGCATTCTCTGATGAAAACCAGATTCTGGCTCTAGACTCCCCAATCAGGTTGCATTTGAGCCTCCATCTCTGTGCCTATTGGTGGGTTGTAAAGAGGTGAGTTATAAGGTGAGCTGGCTAGGCGCTCAGGCCACAGATGCCCTGTGTGCAGTCCTCCGATCCCATCCCTTTCTTCCTTAAACATGGTGGGGCGTGGGGCTGGGCCAAATGAAACATGAGGGGCAAGGGAAAACTGGTCAGCAGATGAAACTGGATTCCTGCTGAAACCACGGGCTGTCAGTAGAAGAGAGACCAGCTAGGAGAGTGAGCGAACAGGTGAAGTCTACTATGGAGTTAGTCCTGTCTTGGCCATTCACTTGTTCCTGAAGGAAGGAAAAAAACAGAAGGCAAATGAGAAAAAGACAGTAAAGCCAAATGTACAACTTCTGGTAAGCATTCCTCCTTTCTTTGAAGGAAAGGACTCTACCACTCGAATGGAGGACCATCTTGGGCTGTTTAGTGCAGGGCAGTTTATGAAAAGGAAACAACACACTCCCTCAGGAACTAGACTGTTCGTCTGTGCAGCTACTTGCAGGTGAATGAGGAAGAGGCTGGCCTGGTGCTGGCGAATTGACATGGAGACACCCTATAGGACCTTTGCCATTAGGCAGAAATAGTTCAAACTTCTTGCTTCCTACCCCCTACCCCATTCCTCTAGCTGAGGTAACTCAGGTCAGTGGCAGCCACGTTCTAGGAGAAGACAGCTCAGGTGTGGATGTGCACTTACTTGCGTGAGTGTCTGCTCCATGTCCTATGACTTTACAAGACCCCCTAGTGAGTGAGAAGGGCTATAAGCAGAGACGTGAGCTTGCTTCACATTCCCTTCCCTGCAGCTCAGTCCCTTTGCTGTTGCCCTTTTGGGCTCTGAGCAGGGCCAACAAACTGGATATCTGATCTCTTAATAGTCACTTTGGGTCTCCACCCCACTTTTTCTTTCTTGTTCAAACAGGTAAAAAACAAGGAGTCCCTGAAAATCGCAACAAAGGTAACCTGTCCACCCACTCATTTACCATCTCTACCTGACTACACTCTAACCAGACTTTTCCAGGCCATCTGCCTTCTCCCTCTTCCTCGCCATAAATCTGTTACCTGCTGTTGTGGCCCAGATGCCTCATCCTGAGGAAGGTGCAGAGATTTGGGGGTGGTCTCAAGGTTCCAGTCCAAATCCAAGACAGGACAGCAGCACCCTCTGCTGTTGGCTCAAGCATCCTCTCAAGTCAGGGTTTTTCAGGAGTGTGTGGGATTGGCCTCTTCTTCCCAGGGTGCTGACCTCTTTCGCCTCATTGCCCTAGGCCAGATTTAAATACCAATGGTCATCAGCTTCTGGGTTGGAAGACTTCAGGGTCCCCCAGTGGAGGGGGACCATTGGGGTCGGCAGTCCCTGCACCCTCCTCTTGCTAGCTTCCTCATCGGTGTTCTCTTCTGGTCTGGAATCCTTCTCTGCTCGTCTCTGGGGCTTGGAGAAAGACTTTTATCTGTGCCTCTCTTCTCACCTCTTCCTTTGTTCTCACCACAGTCTGTTCTCTTCCCCCTGATCTGATGTATGTTTCTCTTTTGGTGGTTGTGCTGACATCCTGTCCCTGTCTTGTTTGTGAGTCTGACAGCAGACACAGTACCTCAGGAAGGGCATCTTAAGCAAAGGGGCCAAGCTCTGCAGCATTGAGGTTGGAGAGGGGAAGGAACCAGAGAGAACTGCTGTCCTCAGCTCCTAGAAATTTGTTTTGTCTGTCACCCACATCATAGTAGTCTTGAAAAATAAAGTCATCACATCAGAGAACCAGGGCTGCACAGAAATAATTCTTTAATTATAGGTCTCTTTAACTTCTTATAAAAAGAAAAATGGATTTATATGACTGTCTTTGTCCATTTTTCTCTCATTTTAGGTATCCCTTACAGCAGCTTCTTCCCTCTCCCCCAGAAGACTAACTCCAGGTCCCACTCTGTACCTTCCTCATGGATTTCCATCCCCTTTTGTTCAACTGATAGAAGAAGGAACTGAAAAACACCCTGTGTTTGGGGTCTGTGTTTCTTCCCTGGCAGTCTATACATAGAGAGATAAACCTTTGAACAGAGCAGACTAGGACCATTTTGCTCCAGAAACATCTGCCAGCCTTCTCCTTCAGCCCTTTTCTGTAATAAAGATTCACTATTGTAAGCACTAAATTCCAGGAAGGATGGTTGTTGGTAATAGTGATTATGGCATGACTAATCCTCTTTAGAATAAACCTGTCTTGGGGCTCTGAGACGGTGCCAGGAAGCTGCACCATCTGAGTAAATCCATACCTAGAAGCACCCTTGTTTTATCTCCAGTTGATAGAATATCATCTCACGGGCCCTAATAGAGGGTGGAAGGCAAGCACCCTATCTGGCATGGGGTAAGAGTGGTCAGGACTGATGTCAGGGTCCAAGGTAAATCCAGGAAGAAGATAGAAGGGTGTTTTGGTTTCCTCCTGCCCACTGCTCAGTACTACTACCTGGCCTGATCACCCATCCTATCTGTGTGTACACCCTAGCAAAGACTCAGGATGGAGTGGCCCTGGAAATCCAGCCACTCAACAGCCAGGAGGGGATCGACAATGAGGAAAAGGAGAAAAAGGTGGCCAAGCTACCCAAGAAGGAGAAGTCGGTGCTACAGGGGAAGCTGACACGCTTGGCTATTCAGATTGGGAAAGCTGGTGAGTAGGGTGGAGCCTTCTGGTTGTGGTTATCGAGGCTGTCCCAGATTTCTTCCTCCACACCACCCAGGTCTGGCAGAGGAAGCTCAAACTTCTTGGTGGCTAGTTCAGTCTAGGAAGCCTGTTCTTCTGCCTCTGCCACTTTTAGCCACTCCCTAGACTTTCGGGGAGAAGTGTTTCCCTGTGTATAAGAGTTAAAGGCCGTGAGGTCTTTTTCATCCAAATAAATGGGAAGTTAAGAACTTATATCACAACATGGGAGATTTACATTACCAAAAAGGGAGACCTTACCTGTCACATGTATGGGCTTGTAAATTCCTTAAGGGCAGAGAAGACTGCTGTTTTTTGGAGGTAGTTCCCTAGCAGAGTAGTAGCATCAGTCCAGGCACAGAGCTATAAATTCAAAATAAGGACCGGAGGGAAAAGGGAGACAGTGGCCACAGATGCTGTTTTCAGAAGAGAGGTCATTAAAGGCACTCGTGTATCATGGGAGGAAGTGGCTTCTCCATCACTTGCTGCCACATCCTCTGTCCTCTATGTTTTTTCAGTGGTGGTGTGGGGTGAGGGGTTAGGAGGAGGGAACAAAAGGAAGATTGCTGAAGGCAGTGGACATATCTGTCTAGATACGTTCTTGTGCCACTTTAATTGTTGGGTTGACCAAAAAGTTCATTTGTTTTTTCTAAAAGTGGCTCTAGTAGCGCTTATAACAGATAAGCACTTTAACTTCATTCCAAACAATTTTGTTAGATTGTATTGTGACAGCTGTCATATCAAAGTGCATTTAAAAAACATCAAAATTGCTGAATTTTTATGTAGCCATTTTAATATTAAAAGATGGAAAAATACACAACATTTTTGGCATATTATGCTTTATTATTTCAAGAAAGGTAAAAAAACACAACTGAAACACAAAGATTTCTGCAGTGTTTGGAGAAGGTGCTGTGACTGATCAAATGTGCCAAAAGTGGTTTGCAAAATTTCATGCCAGAGGTTCATCTGTGGACAGTGCTCCACTCTCGGGTAGTCAGTTGAAGTTGATAGTGATCAAATCAAGACATTAATTGAGAACAGGCAATGTTATACCACACAGGAGATAGCCGACATGCTCAAAATATACAAATCAATAAGATTATTGGTAAAGTGAAAAAATATGTCTTTTATTTTATGGGAAAGACCATACAGGCTTTTTGGCTAACCCAGTACTTCCAGGCCCTACCCTTCTGTTCACTACAATCCTAGTCTAGCCCAATACATCTCTGTATAGAGTTCACCCGAACCTTGTTAAAGCATAGTGTCTGAGTCAGGAGTTCTGGGGTAGGGCCTAAAAGCCTGCATTTCTAACAAGCCCCAGGTGAGGCCAAAGCTGCTGACCCACTAAGCACCCACTGAGTAGCTAGAATTTGTGCTCTCCACTACCATAGCCACTAACTATGTTTGGTTGTTTCTATTTAAATTAAAATTAAATACAGTTAAACAGTTCAATAATGACATGCGGCTAGTGGCTACCATGCTAGACAGTGCAAATAGAGACCATTTTAAGCATCATAGAGAGTTGTTAAGACAACGTTCATCTAGCCTGTTCATTCGGTTCCTTCACCCAGCTAATAAGAGACTGTGAAATCTCTTGAATATAAACTATACATGGATGAGATGGACTGCAGGTGTGGGATCAAGTTATTGAGCCTGGCACACAGGTTTGAAACATTAAATAGATTCCGCCTAGTCTCTCCTATTGTCCTCCTAATCCCTGCATGTTCTCTAGGAAGTATAAGCCTCCTGATGGCTTGTCTCCTCTGTTGTTTTATTTTACATTTCAAGCTAGGCCAGGACTAAGGTGAGGCAAATAAGATGCCTTGTGCCACCCTGAAAGTGATGTTTCTTTCAGTTATGTACCCCAGGGACTTTGTTTGCCTCACCTTGCTCCTCAGGCCCCTGAGAAAAGTGAAGACCCAGACCAGACTGTGGTTTAAGGCAGGGTGCTTCCCAGATATTATGCCACAGATGTAGGTATCTCTGCCCAGGTACTGATCCCAGGGCAATTGGAACCCCTAGACCAGTTGTTTACAGACCTTGAGAAGATTCTTCCATTTACCTTAGCGTGTAGGTTGACTAGCTGGCCTAGTTTGCTGGGGATTTTATTGATTTTAGAACTGAAAGTTTTAAGGGGGATTCTTTTCCTCCTGAGTTCTCCCACATGCCAGGAGACTGCTCAGTCTGCAAACCAGGGTGGTTGGTCCCCCTACCAGCATGCCATATGAAAAACCTCTCTGTGCCTTCACTTCCTCAGAAAAGGGGCTAATAATAACAACTAGTCTTACAGGGTTCTTGTGAGGATTATTACATAAGTAGTTTTTGTAAAGTGCTTGCCTGGCCCAGGAAGCACTGTGTGCGTGTGTGTGTGTGTGTGTGTGTGTGTGTGTGCTATTATTGTCACTTTTTGTCTATGGAATGTCAGGAGAAAGGTTAGGAGGCACTGTTCTGGACGTTTGTCTTGTAGGTGCTATGCTAACACTATAAGGCCATTGCTGTGCATAAGTTGCTAGTTGTCTGGCATTCATTCATTCACAGGCTTCTACAGGAAAAGTCCACATTGATAAACTACTAGGAAACAAGCAAATATGGTCACTGCATTGTGAATTATGGAAAGAGGATAGGTCTGAAATAGAGTCATATAATGCTATTGCAGAACACAGGACCAGCCAGCCCCTTTATTTATGCATGAGGAAACAGGCCTGGAGAGGGTCAAAGATTAGTAAGTAGTCCAAAGCCACGAGTCAACTTAGTGCAGTGCTAAAACTAGACCTGTGTCTTTTCCCCAACACTATCGTATGCAAGCAACAAAGAATGGGTAGGGGATATTAGCATGACTTCCTGGAAGTAGCAGTTTTAAAAGTTGGTGGCAAAGGTGGCAACTTATGCTGATCCGCTTCTGGCTGGGGACATAAGAGTGCCCTAGAGCCAGGGTTCATGTGACTTGTTTTCTGTTCAGGCCTGATCATGTCTGCTATCACCGTTTTCATCCTGATTCTGTACTTTGTGATTGACAACTTCGTGATAAAGCGCAAACCATGGCTAGCCGAGTGTACCCCCATCTACATCCAGTACTTTGTCAAGTTCTTCATCATCGGTATCACTGTACTGGTGGTGGCCGTGCCAGAGGGGCTGCCACTGGCTGTCACCATTTCACTGGCCTACTCTGTGAAGGTGAGACTAGAACGATACTTTCTCCTCCTTTAGGACAGAGGTTGGGGGGGTAGTGCCATGTAG